AATAATAATAATAATAATAATAATAATAATAATAATAATAATAATAACAATAATAAGAATAAGAATAAGAATAATTAGAATAATAATAATAAGAAGAAGAAGAAGAAGAAGAAGAAGAATAAGAAGAAGAAGAAGAAGAAGAATAAGAATAATAGCAATAATAATAATAATAATAATAATAATGAATTCACATTATTCATGAAGCCAAATAAGTCAGACTTGTTTAATGATTTTTTTAAAATCATCTTTTCTGTGCTGAATCACAAAGATCCAGGCTGATTTGAGAGTATAGGAAAAACTTATACTGGCGATTTAGATGTTTTAAGTGTAGCTTTAAGGGTAATTTGCCACCTACCTGGGGGGTAAAAATGCTCATGAGTTGATGCTGCGTTTTATGAATCACATGTGTTGTTGTGGCAACCAGGTTTCAAAAATAAAGACGGCTATGTCAAATGTCATCTTGTTACTTAGAACACATTGACTTACATTTAGAGTGTCGGGTGTGATGGGTTGTCATGGCAACGTGGAGATCAGTTTGGGCCAGTTCAGACTATAATTCTTACATGGAAGAAAAGAAGAATAAAGTCACAGACACTCAAGCCCTTTTATTTCCTTTCAAACTCCACAATTTTGTAATGGGAGTGAACAAAATACATCTGATCAGAATCTTTAAGTTCGAATCATCCTAAAAATGTTTAATTCTTTCATATTCAGTGTTTTAATGATCATTACAATTTCAGGATCCAATTCATTCTTCTGCTTGGGAATTATTGCAATTCCTAAGATGGCCACTAGGTGTCAGACAAACACTGATTGACTCTGTATGAGTAGTAACACACAACCTGCACATGATGATCAACAAAAAAGAGAGCATGGATTATTTCGTGCCTTTTTCTAGTCACGTGACCAAGCATGAGTTAAGCGGGATGGACCGTAGCTTTAAGTTTCAAACATTCTTATGACAAGGAACAGACTCTAATTTCTGAACCGAGGACCAAATAAGGAAAAGAGAACGCAAATCAGATCTAAGAGTCCACACATGATGTGATGCATTGTGAGTTTGTAGATGATTTGTGTACAGGAAGTACAAAATATTACATTTAGGAGAAAATATAACAATGGACGTGACCATTGAGAATGGACTGTTTTCTAGTTTGAGTTTTATATTTCTTGCAATGCACTTTATAAGACTTGAGATAATTAATGGTATCTAACCTAATTTTACTATTAAAAATGTAGAAATTGAATTATTTCCTCACTTTCAATCCATGCCAAGCCTCATTTAGATATTGCCTTTAATCAAAAAAAAAAAAAAAAAGATAACTCAAATATACTTCTAAAATTAAAAATGTCTTACTTTCAGGAAGTTATTTTAAAATCATGACAGAAGTTGCAAATGCGACTAGGAAGAAGACCCAGGCACAATAACAGCCAAGCGGAAAAACAATCACAATCACAAAGAGTCACGAAAATGAGTCATCCTGAGTGGGCGATGGAACAGTGTGTAAAAGCCTCGACTGCGGCCTATTTGGCAGCCCAGTAAAGTCCCTGTGTGTGTGTGTGTGTGTGTGTGTGTGAATACAGCATAAATCTGGAGGATGATTAGTAAGCGGGATGAGACGGGAGATGTGGAGGAGTGTGGAGGGCACAAACAGACGTGATTGGAAGAGAATACATCCATCTCATAATTACCATATGGAGAATATTTGTATCAATGGTGCCTCTGCTAGAACTTCAAAGCCAACAAGTCAAAAGTCAGAATAAGTAAGAAGTAAGAAGTGGAAAGACAATGCAGGAAAGAATAAAGCAGAAATATACCAAATGGCTATAAAACTGCTCAATAAAAACACTGATACACTTCAAAAGTGCCAATTAATTCCTGCTTTAATTTCCTTATTTAATCATGTTTCTTTGTTTAAAATGTTCCTATTAATCTACGATTTCGTGTTGTATCATTTAATGCATGTGTGATCCTGGTGGTGAACTGGTGATGTCCAGGTGGAGGAGGTGACCAGTGGCCGGTGGCCGGTGTCCTGGATTCCGTGGTCAGTCTGAGGGGGCTCAGGCCTACAGAGCGTCCCTCTGGTAGATTCCGCCTGTTGGTGATTTGTCCCTTTGGCCTGAATTCAGGCTTCTGGTGTTGTTCAGAACATTGCCATCGCGAGCCTAAGAAAGGATCTTAGGGGACTGTTGATCTAGTACAATTCTAGGACATTTCAGGATCCAGGAAGTGTGAGTCACTGAGTCAAAAAGAGATGCAAACTCTTCTGAAAAAGGGTCATATATATATATATATATATATATATATATATATATATATATATATGAGATAGATAGATAGATAGATAGATAGATAGATAGATAGATAGATAGATAGATAGATAGATAGATAGATAATATTGTGCTAATAATGTTATTAACATTAGTAATTTCTGTGAATTCAACATCCTCCACTTTTCTTTCTTATCTAATGCCAGTTTCTTACTGTAACTTCCTTCTTCTACATATTTGATTATACACTTCTGCTTGTAGATAGGCACTGCTCCAAAAAGCAAACCACACTTCTAAACTTAATGTCGCATTCTCCGTCCACACAAAACTGCTGTCAGTATTATTTCTGCCAACACTAAAGACAAAGGCCGTTTGTTTCATTGTGATCCTGTAATGATAAATCGTGGCAAAAGGGTTGCAACTTCCTCCTTCATTCTGCAGAGATCCAGTTTCCTGTCGAATAAAGGTGAGTCTCATATTACCAGACTTTTTATGGCCAATGGCAGCCTAACTATAGAAAGCAAAACCTGTAGGTCCGCACTTTAACCCACAAAGACAGTTATCACTGTTTACAACTATTTTTCAAATGCATTGATTTTTGTAAAGGCTTGATGTGTAGTTAAAAGTAAAACGTTTCGAAAGATCTTGACCATTTTCTCGTAAATCCCGTTTTATTGCTCGTACTTTGAGCTGTGGCAGCTTTCTGGTAAACTTTCCCACCGGACAGGAGAGAGATGGCGGAGCACCTGCTGAAAATACTGATAGTTGGGGACGGAAATGTCGGGAAGTCCTCTTTCACCCATCGATACACCAGCGGTCAGTTCAACAGCTCCTACAAGATGACTGTGGGAGGTATGTGTGATGGAAAAAAGCACAGAAAAAAAATGTCCCCGGTTAGTCGTCTTCTGTGTGTGTGTGTGTGTGTGTGTGTGTGCGTGTGTGTGTGAGCAGGTGAGAAAGTAAATTATAGTAATAGCTGGACTTTTATTTATTTTCAATAACAGTGATTGTTCCTTGATTTTAATGAGGTGGTCATTACCTAAACGGATGGATGGATGATAGAAAATCTACAAAGGCTTTTGTGGTGATAACCAACTTTGACAGTTTGGAAATGAAAATTAAATCAGTTACTGTACTGATAGCATTTTTAGGATCCAGGAGGATTGCCTGACCAAATTCCATTTGTCTTCTTTAAACCTCAGATAATGACCCCATACCTATAAAATGCATTGCCACATTTTTCAAAACTTTATCAATCCTTTGAACCTTAGTAAACCATCTTGGTAAAATAGTATAATATACTATATCATATTATACTATAATAACACTCAGACTGTATGATATTAGAATATTATGATATAATATATTATAATATAGTAGATACATAGTATCATATAGTGTATTACAATACTACTATTCTTGATATATTACTAATATTACTAATCACTATTATGAATATAGTAAGATAGAGACATTAAGTCTTTTTTCAAATCTAAATCAGTCAAAGCTGACTTTGACATCACAGTAAAATAGTATAATATACAATATCATATTATACTATGATAACACTCACATTGTATAATATTAGAATATTATGATATAATATATTATAATTTAGTAGATATATAGTATCATATAGTGTATTACTACACTACTATTCTTAATATATTACTAATGTTACTAATTACTATTATGAATATAGTAAAATAGTGACATTAAGTCTTTTTTTATCTAAATCAGTCAAAGCTGACTTTGACTTCACAGTAAAATAGTATAATATACAATATCATATTATACTATGATAACACTCACATTGTATAATATTAAAATATCATGATATAATATATTATAATATAGTAGATATATAGTATCATATAGTGTATTACTACACTACTATTCTTAATATATTACTAATATTACTAATTACTATTATGAATATAGTAAAACAGTGACATTAAGTCTTTTTTTTATCTAAATCAGTCAAAGCTGACTCTGACTTCACAGTAAAATAGTATATCATATTATACTATAATAACACTTGTATAATATTAGAATATTAGGATATAATGTATTATAATATAGTAGATATATAATATCATATAGTGTATTACTATACTACTATTCTGAATACATTACTAATTACTATTACTAATATAGTAAAATAGTGACATTAAGCCTTTTTTTCTCTAAATCAGTCCTATCTGGCGGGGTATCCAGCGATGGACTGGTAAACCTGTCCAGGGTGCAGCCCATCTCATTCCTATTTGGGAACCTTTAACGTTTGTGGAGAAGTGTGCAGCCTTTCTCTGTAACGCTTTCAAAACGCTGTTCAGAGTACAGATTTGTCTTCACTACCGGACAATGACTGACCCGCCAATTTCTACTCCAATTACTCTCCTTTCCAGTGGATTTTTCTGTGAAGCTGCTGCACTGGTCGGAAAGAGAAAAGGTCAGGCTGCAGCTATGGGACATAGCCGGTACGCACCAT